ACTACGCTCTGTTGTTAGATATGTGTCCAGTTTTTCCTGTAGATCGGGCGCGGATGTGTAAATATGTTTTAAGTATAAATTAAAATAATCAGTATAATTCATGGGCGTGGAAATGCGATTTTTGCGTACGGGTAAACGTGGTGATAATGACAACATACTGGCCCACTGACCATCACAGAGATCATCGTAACGTAGCAGGCCCACTTCACGACCTCCTAAATCACCGGGACCACGACACATGGGAGCACCATCCCATAATTTTGAGCTATGTTCACGTATCCAACGTGCCAAGTACAGGGCACGACAATCACAATGCCAGGGATTTTTGTCCAATTTTACCGATATAAGTTTTTGTAGATCCACAAAAGAGCCGTGTGGTAAATATTGCAATTTATTCGAATCAATGCGTCTGTAATAAAAAGCATAATAACATGAAGTTTTTAAAAATTAAAAAAAAATAATTAAAGACTTACAATTTCTCTAGATTTTTAAATGGAGCAAATACTTTGGAATTTACATATTTTAAATTATTATTGTTAAGCATTAAATTCTTAAGATTTGTTAGACCCTCAAAGTCGGCCGATTCCAAAGTGGTTAGATTATTGGAGAAAAATGTTAAACGTACTAGAGATTTTGTGTTTAGAAACATGCCATCCGGTATAGTGTTTAAAGCATTTTGTCCCAAAAATAATTCTTTCAAATCTACCAATTCCTCAAAGGCTCTACTGTGAATCTAATTTAAGAAATATACAAATTAAGAAAATAATTAAAAATCAATATTCAATTCATAATTTCTTAAAAACTTACTTTCGCGATACGATTCATGGTTAAATCCAATGTTATAAGTTTGCCTAAATTTTTGAAAATCGTCCCAGATATGGTAGTTATTTCATTGTTGTGTAATATTAAAGTTCTTAAACTTATTAGACCCGAAAAGAAGTCCTCTGATATAGAAGCTAAAAATAATTGAAATTTTATTAAAAATACTTATAATTTCTTTAAGAATTTACACATATTACCAATTGCATTTGACGAAAAATCCAACACCATCAATTTGTCCAATTTCAAAACACTACCCCTTTTCAAAACCTGTATTTCATTGCGTGACATATCCAGTTCCTCTAAATTGGATTGATCACGTAAGAGATTTGGTGGGAATATTTTGATTTTATTATCAGCCAAATTTATAACCGTCAAACGTTGGCAATGATTGAAGAGCTGCTCATCTACACTGGTTAAACGATTTTTACTTACATCCAGTAGACTTAAATGACGCAATTTCCAAAATATACGATAATCCAGTTCCTCAAGAAAGTTGTATTGTATGCGGCTGTAGGTACAAAAAACAAATTGTTTTGAAATGATATGCAATAAAACTTGGTCCAAATTGCGCACAAGTGATCAAGTAAAATTTATCGTAATTTTGAGATGTTGGTTTTCCATGTCGAAAGAGACATCTTTTACACTAAAGCATAATTTCGATATCGAAAAGTGTTTTCGGTACAAAAGTTTATTCGTTCACGTATGCAATAATTCGGAAATAAAAATTCTGAACTGATCTAGAACTGAACAAGAACTGAAGAAGAACTGAACTAGAACTGAAATAGAATTGATCCAGAACTGAACTAGAACTGTACTAGAACTGTACTAGAACTGAACTAAAACTGAACTAGAACTGAACTAGAATTGAACTAGAATTGAACTAGTTCAGTTCTAGAACTGAACTAGAACTGAACTAGAACTGAACTAGAACTGAACTAGAACTGAACTAGAACTAAACTAGAACTGAACTAGAACTGAACTAGAACTGAACTAGAACTGAACTAGAACTGAACTAGAACTGAACTAGAACTGAACTAGAACTGAACTACAACTGAACTAGAACTGAACTAGAACTGAACTAGAACTGAACTAGAACTGAACTAGAACTGAACTAGAACTGAACTAGAACTGAACTAGAACTGAACTAGAACTGAACTAGAACTGAACTAGAACTGAACTAGAACTGAACTAGAACTGAACTAGAACTGAACTAGAACTGAACTAGAACTGAACTAGAACTGAACTAGAACTAGAACTGAACTAGAACTGAACTCGAACTAAACTAGAAATGAACTAAAACTGAACTAGAACTGAACTAGAACTGAACTAGAACTGAAATGAAACTGAACTAGAACTGAACTAGAACTGAACTAGAACTGAACTAGAACTGAACTAGAACTGAACTAGAATTGAACTAGAACTGAACTAGAACTGAACTAGAACTGAACTAGAACTGAATTAGAACTGAACTAGAGCTGAACTAGAACTGAACTAGAACTGAACTAGAATATAACTGAACTAGAATTTACTACTAACTGAACAACAGCCAAACTGGTAATGAAATGGAACTAAACTAGGAATGTACTAGAACTAGTAGATCTGAACTGAAACTGAGCTTAAGGTGAACCAAAACTACCAAACTGGAATCAAATTAATTTCACTTACAGCTGTATTAAACTGTCAAGATCTTGAAATAGATCGAATGGTAAAAAATCCAACTGATTGCTAGATAAATCCAATTCCTTGAGCAATGTCAAACCACGAAATGTATCTTTGTGTAAAGTAGACAAAGCGTTGCGAGAAATATCACTTGAAAACAGAAAATTCTTTATTATAACCATCGATAAAATATACTCGGACACCACCTACATTGATACCATATTCATTGGTATAACTTGTGTTACAGGTACCGATTTAAGATTTGTATTCCAACAGGTAAAACTTTTAGTATCTGGATTACAACGACAAGCACTTGAGGTACAATGATTCCATTCTAAACGACTGCCTAAAGCTAAACGCCAAACAGGCTGTTCCACCGATCGCAAACGACTTTCGATTTGACGCACCATTTTATGCAATTGACTATCGCGTTCATCCTTATCCGCTAAGGAGTTAGCACGACTAATTTGTGGTGCTCTTTGTACCGGAATAATCAGAGTTGTTTGCAGCAGCACCAACAACTGAGAGACTAATTTTAAAGCCTCACAGGCATTTAAAGTACAATTCGGAGCCGCAGCTACGGGCAGCACTATTTGTTGACGAAATTTTTCTAAAGTATCAAGATTTTGGCTTAAAAGAGTTTGTAGTCCTCTGCAAGGCTCAAACACAATTAAAAATATAGTCACAAATTTAACACAATTACTGAAAAACATTTTGCGTTTTATTTTTAAACCGTTTTACTAATTCTAACGTGTAACTAGTGAATTTTTAGAAAATCTACTAATTTGATTTGCAACTTAGAATCTTGTATTTATACTGGCTGCTGGTTGACAAAGATGTTTCTTCATGTATTATTATGTTAATTTTAAGTACTTTTTATAAATTAAGTGCATTTAGTTCATTATTTCCATATGTAGTTCAAGATTGTAGAATAGTGAAATTTAAAGAACAGTTTAAGCTTAAAATCTGTATCTTTAAATTTTTTCTTTTAAATCTAATTTTTCAAATTGTAAAATTAAGGTTAACGAACGTTTTATTATGTAGATAATTGAGGTGTTTATGTTATATAATGATTTTGAATGTCAATAACGTCGAATATTACTGTGTTCACTCACATGCATTTTAATTGAAGCAAACACAAAGTTCATAATATGTAAATTTATTTAAATTGAAATTGCACTATGTATGTCTAAACATACATACATACATATTAAAGGAACAGTCTGCTTTTGATTTAACCCAATAAACATCGATTCAAACCTGTGAATATTTTTGAAAATTTTCTTAACTAAATAATGTATTTTCCAAATTGTTTTCAAATTTTAAAGTTTAGCCTTTGAAATAAACATGATAATTTCAAAAAACGTTTAAAAAAATATAATGTGTGATATTTATAAAATTTTCAAAGTTTTGTTTTAATTGAACTTAGAAAAGTTTCTTTCAAAAAATAAATTATTTTAGAAAAATAAAAACAGAACATTTTTTCTACAGCAAGGGAGCGAAAAAAACGTTAAATATAGGAGAAATAATCGGAGATATAAAAGAAAAATATGCTAAAATAAATGTATGAATGTTTTATTTTCAGGTGATGTAAAAAAATATATGAATTTTGCAATAGTTAGCATTATAATTAGGGTTTGAAATATGTATGAAAATAATAATAAAGAATACTTGAAATACGTTTGAAAATTTTTTTAGTTTCAAGCTTACTTCTAGCCTTTTTTTAAATTTGAAATACATTTGAAAAATACGTTTGATTTCTAACTGCCTTTTTGTTTGAGAAGGCCATAATTTTCCATTTGAAAACAAAAATTTTCAAATTTGTTCTCAAAGGCTATGTATGAAATTTGAATAGGTTTTCAAATACATATTTACATCATTTCAAAGGTTTTTGCTTATTGGGAAATAACACCCTTTCAAGTCTAGAAATGAATAAATGTTAAACTTGAACCTAATGAAACTAGAACTTAGAGCTCAACAACAACTGTACTAGGACTGAACTAGTACTGAACTAGTACTGATCTAGAACTGAACTGAACTAGAACTGAACTAGAACTGAACTAGAACTGAACTAGAACTGAACTAGAACTGAACTAGAACTGAACTAGAACTGAACTAGAACTGAACTAGAACTGAACTGAACTAGAACTGAACTAGAACTGAACTAGTACTGATCTAGAACTGAACTGAACTAGAACAGAACTAGAACAGAACTAGAACAGAACTAGAACAGAACTAGAACTGAACTAGAACTGAACTAGAACTGAACTAGAACTGAACTAGAACTGAACTAGAACTGAACTAGAACTGAACTAGAACTGAACTAGAACTGAACTAGAACTGAACTAGAACTGAACTAGAACTGAACTAGAACTGAACTAGAACTAGAACTGAACTAGAACTGAACTAGAACTGAACTAGAACTGAACTAGAACTGAACTAGTACTGAACTAGAACTGAACTAGAACTGAACTGAACTAGAACTGAACTAGAACTGAACTAGAACTGAACTAGAACTGAACTAGAACTGAACTAGAACTGAACTAGAACTGAACTAGAACTGAACTAGAACTGAACTAGAACTGAACTAGAACTGAACTAGAACTGAACTAGAACTGAACTAGAACTGAACTAGAACTGAACTAGAACTGAACTAGAACTGAACTAGAACTGAACTAGAACTGAACTAGAACTGAACTAGAACTGAACTAGAACTGAACTAGAACTGAACTAGAACTGAACTAGAACTGAACTAGAACTGAACTAGAACTGAACTAGAACTGAACTAGAACTGAACTAGAACTGAACTAGAACTGAACTAGAACTGAACTAGAACTGAACTAGAACTGAACTAGAACTGAACTAGAACTGAACTAGAACTGAACTAGAACTGAACTAGAACTGAACTAGAACTGAACTAGAACTGAACTAGAACTGAACTAGAACTGAACTAGAACTGAACTAGAACTGAACTAGAACTGAACTAGAACTGAACTAGAACTGAACTAGAACTGAACTAGAACTGAACTAGAACTGAACTAGAACTGAACTAGAACTGAACTAGAACTGAACTAGAACTGAACTAGAACTGAACTAGAACTGAACTAGAACTGAACTAGAACTGAACTAGAACTGAACTAGAACTGAACTAGAACTGAAACTAGAACTGAACTAGAACTGAACTAGAACTGAACTAGAACTGAACTAGAACTGAACTAGAACTGAACTAGAACTGAACTAGAACTGAACTAGAACTGAACTAGAACTGAACTAGAACTGAACTAGAACTGAACTAGAACTGAACTAGAACTGAACTAGAACTGAACTAGAACTGAACTAGAACTGACTAGAACTGAACTAAGAACTGAACTAGAACTGAACTAGAACTGAACTAGAACTGAACTAGAACTGAACTAGAACTGAACTAGAACTGAACTAGAACGAACTAGAATGAACTAGAACTGAACTAGAACTGAACTAGAACTGAACTAGAAACTGAACTAGAACTGAACTAGAACTGAAACTAGAACTGAACTAGAACTGAACTAGAACTGAACTAGAACTGAACTAGAACTGAACTAGAACTGAACTAGAACTGAACTAGAACTGAACTAGAACTGAACTAGAACTGAACTAGAACTGAACTAGAACTGAACTAGAACTGAACTAGAACTGAACTAGAACTGAACTAGAACTGAACTAGAACTGAACTGAACTAAAACTGAACTAGAACTGAACTAGAACTGAACTAGAACTGAACTAGAACTTAACTAGATCTGAACTGGAACTGAACTAGATCTGAACTAGAACTGAACTAGAACTGAACTAGAACTGAACTAGAACTGAACTAGAACTGAACTAGAACTGAACTAGAACTGAACTAGAACTGAACTAGAACTGAACTAGAACTGAACTAGAACTGAACTAGAACTGAACTAGAACTGAACTAGAACTGAACTAGAACTGAACTAGAACTGAACTAGAACTGAACTAGAACTGAACTAGAACTGAACTAGAACTGAACTAGAACTGAACTAGAACTGAACTAGAACTGAACTAGAACTGAACTAGAACTGAACTAGAACTGAACTAGATCTGAACTAGAACTGAACTAGAACTGAACTAGAACTGAACTAGAACTGAACTAGAACTGGACTAGAACTGAACTAGAACTGAACTAGAACTGAACTAGAACTGAACTAGAACTGAACTAGAACTGAACTGAACTAGAACTGAACTAGAACTGAATTAGAACTGAACTAGAACTGAACTAGAACTGAACTAGAACTGAACTAGAACTGAACTAGAACTGAACTAGAACTGAACTAAAACTGAACTAGAACTGAACTAGAACTGAACTAGAACTAAACTAGAACTGAACTAGTACTGAACTAGAACTGAACTAGAACTGAACTAGAACCGAACTAGAACTGAACTGAACTAGAACTGAACTAGAACTGAACTCGAACTGAACTAGAACGGAACTAGAACTGAACTAGAATTAAAATAAAACTGAACTAGAAAGTAATTGCAACAACTTGAACTGAGTTACAACCAATCTAGAGTTGAACTTTAACTGATGAAGTGCTGATCTGGCACTATATTGATAAATCTCCACTGTGTTTCTGGAAAATGATCAGCAAATTTATTTACAATTTATCTGTCATGTTCGGTCAGAGAGTTTACGTTTGAAAAACCATTAAAATATAGAAATAAAAAATCTCGAGGATTCCGTTAAAAGAAAACTGAAATATTTGTGTTTGTTTAGAAGAATTTGACAGGTTTTCTTTTTATTTAAAGGTGTCGAATGACGGAAGTATAAAATTCTTCTCGGCAAATTCCTATACATTACACATTCCTATTTTAAAAGATGAACTAAATATTTTAAATGGCTCACATTTGTAAATATTTTCAATAAATAAATATATAAGCATGATAATTAATTTTATCAAAAATATAATGTTATCAATAATGTTTTCTTAAATATCAGATAAAAAATCAATTATCTATAATTTCATCTCAATTAAAAAATAATATATGAGAAATGCTTCTATTTGAAAAGAAGAAAGACATTTAAAGTTTGAATCTTAAAGGGGAAACAAGTAATTAAATTTGGTAAACTTAAAGAAAAAGTTTTTAAAATGAAAAGTAATAAAAAACTAGAATTAATATTGTTAATTTTATATTGGTCAACATTAATTTCAAAATCTTTTGCTCAAAATAAAGAAGCAATAGGCAAGTTGTATTAAATAAACTAAATCCAGTCATTTTAATTTAAAAGCCGTATTTCTAACAGATTGTACCAACGAAGAATTAGTCACCTCGATATTTAACGAACCCATAGACCTATCTCTGCGTGGCATAATAAAAATCTATGAAAATGTTACAATAAATGAAATTATTTCGACCACCAATAATGAGTTTGAACTCAATTATATTGATGCCCGTTTGGAGACTTCTTCAACAAACGAAACGAAAAATTTAATACTTTTTACCACCGACTATTTCGAAAATTATGCCAAAGAACAAACAGCGGCCAGGATTTCTTTAAAAATAAATTTAGGCTGTGGCATGGGTAAAGAACGGGTAGTGGTAAGTTTCTTGGTGTTGATATTTTCATAACATATTTAAGATTAATAGTTTGCTGTTTAGATTTTCTTTCAACCTTTAAAAGAGGGCAATTATTTCAGTCCTCTATTTTCTCGAGAGACTTATGAATTGATTATACCCACACCCATTTTCGCTGGTTTTGATTTGACCGCTTTTCTAGAGATAACAGCCAAAGATCATGATTTGACACACAATCAAATTATTTTTACATCGAATGATTCATCGCAATATCACATTAGCGTTGGTACAAAGAATGCTACCAGCACTGATAAGAAGACCTATTTTGCTAATTTAACTTGGAAAAGATTTTATTAGAATTGCCGCAACCGATAGAATTTGAAATTGTTGCAACGGTGAGTAGAAAAAAAAAAAGAACTAGAACTGAACTAGAACTGAACTAGAACTGAACTAGAACTGGACTAGAACTGAACTAGAACTGAACTAGAACTGAACTAGAACTGAACTAGAACTGAACTAGAACTGAACTAGAACTGAACTAGACTGAACTAGAACTGAACTAGAACTGAACTAGAACTGAACTAGAACGAACTAGAACTGAACTAGAACTGAACTAGAACTGAACTAGAACTGAACTAGAACTGAACTAGAACTGAACTAGAACTGAACTAGAACTGAACTAGAACTGAACTAGAACTGAACTAGAACTGAACTAGAACTGAACTAGAACTGAACTAGAACTGAACTAGAACTGAACTAGAACTGAACTAGAACTGAACTAGAACTGAACTAGAACTGAACTAGAACTGAACTAGAACTGAACTAGAACTGAACTAGAACTGAACTAGAACTGAACTAGAACTGAACTAGAACTGAACTAGAACTGAACTAGAACTGAACTAGAACTGAACTAGAACTGAACTAGAACTGAACTAGAACTGAACTAGAACTGAACTAGAACTGAACTAGAACTGAACTAGAACTGAACTAGAACTGAACTAGAACTGAACTAGAACTGAACTAGAACTGAACTAGAACTGAACTAGAACTATGAAACTAGAACTGAACTAGAACTGAACTAGAACTGAACTAGAACTGAACTAGAACTGAACTAGAACTGAACTAGAACTGAACTAGAACTGAACTAGAACTGAACTAGAACTGAACTAGAACTGAACTAGAACTGAACTAGAACTGAACTAGAACTGAACTAGAACTGAACTAGAACTGAACTAGAACTGAACTAGAACTGAACTAGAACTGACTAGAATTGAACTAGAACTGAACTAGAACTGAACTAGAACTGAACTAGAACTGAACTAGAACTGAACTAGAACTGAACTAGAACTGAACTAGAACTGACTGAACTAGAACTGAACTAGAACTGAACTAGAACTGAACTAGAACTGAACTAGAACTGAACTAGAACTGAACTAGAACTGAACTAGAACTGAACTAGAACTGAACTAGAACTGAACTAGAACTGAACTAGAACTGAACTAGAACTGAACTAGAACTGAACTAGAACTGAACTAGAACTGAACTAGAACTGAACTAGAACTGAACTAGAACTAGAACTGAACTGAACTGAACTGAACTAGAACTAGAACTAGAAACTGAACTAGAACTGAACTAGAACTGAACTAGAACTGAACTAGAACTGAACTAGAACTGAACTAGAACTGAACTAGAACTGAACTAGAACTGAACTAGAACTGAACTAGAACTGAACTAGAACTGAACTAGAACTGAACTAGAACTGAACTAGAACTGAACTAGAACTGAACTAGAACTGAACTAGAACTGAACTAGAACTGAACTAGAACTGAACTAGAACTGAACTAGAACTGAACTAGAACTGAACTAGAACTGAACTAGAACTGAACTAGAACTGAACTAGAACTGAACTAGAACTGAACTAGAACTGAACTAGAACTGAACTAGAACTGAACTAGAACTGAACTAGAACTGAACTAGAACTGAACTAGAACTGAACTAGAACTGAACTAGAACTGAACTAGAACTGACTAGAACTGAACTAGAACTGAACTAGAACTGAACTAGAACTGAACTAGACTAGAACTGAACTAGAACTGAACTAGAACTGAACTAGAACTGAACTAGAACTGAACTAGAACTGAACTAGAACTGAACTAGAACTGAACTAGAACTGAACTAGAACTGAACTAGACTGAACTAGAACTGAACTAGAACTGAACTAGAACTGAACTAGAACTGAACTAGAACTGACTAGAACTGAACTAGAACTGAACTAGAACTGAACTAGAACTGAACTAGAACTGAACTAGAACTGAACTAGAACTGAACTAGAACTGAACTAGAACTGAACTAGAACTGAACTAGAACTGAACTAGAACTGAACTAGAACTGAACTAGAATTGAACTAGAACTAGAACTGAAGTAGAAATGATAGCTAAAGTATCAAATAGTCTAATATATTTTTTCGCTCTTAGGACATTGGAGAACCTCCAAAAAGTTCTAAAGCTTTAGTGTCAATACGTTCCGATCCAAGACGTAGTTTACCACCTAAACCTAAATTCGTTCAAACTCTATACAAAAGACTTATAAATATTGATTTCACTATGGAACCCCTACAAATACAACTTGCCAATGGAACCTACTCACCCGATGTTCAATTTTCCCTAAATGGAGTTAATATTCAAGGGTTTAATTTACTTGATCGTAAAAATGGTTCAATAGAGATCACATGGAACTCGAAGAATTTAAATAAAAGCGATATAATCAAGCGCAGAACATGGGAATTAGTGTTAAAAGCGGAACATACAAATCTAGCAGAAGTGGGAAGAGCAAATGTGTTAGTGGAAATGGCGGAGTTGAAATGTAAGTATTGGAGAAATATATTTGGATTTAGTAAACTTCAATTACTTACTTTACAGACTACTTCTATTTCGTAAGCTCCTACTACGAAGGTAATATAGATGAAATGGGAGAATTACATATAACACCTATCATGTTCAACCCATACACCTACCAACCAGATATAGAATTTACCCTTCAAAGCGTACACGATTTCTTCTACTTGTCAAAACAAAACTTTAGTATACAATTACAATTAAATAATAACTTTACTTGGCAAGCTATTGATGACATCGGCTATTTAAAATTAAGTTTGCAGGCGTCATGGGAAAATTTTTCTTCCATGACGCATATCGTCATAAAATTACCACATATAAAAGATGAAATACCACAACAGATGTTTCAGTTTGAAAAGCCTCTGTATGTGGGTCAACTGAATGAAACATATGACTTGGAATTGGAAACAATTGTTTTACAAACAGATGTCAATAATGGCCAAGAAATTGAGTTCAACTTGATTGGCAATGACAGCCAGCAGTTTTATATGATGCGAAATGAAAATCGTCTTGAAATTAAAACTATTTTTAATCTCTTGTCTAAACAAGAAATTAAACTTAATAGTTCTTATTTATTGATTGTGGAAGCGAAACATAACGATCGTAAAACCTTTGCTAGTGTGGTGATTAATGTGCCTCACCATCAGGATAATGTAAAAAGGAAGATTTTCTCAACTCCTTTGATAAAGGGTAAAATGTTGATTGCAAATGACAACCAAACTCTTTCTATGGAAACTGTTTACGTAGACAAGGAGTTCGGAGAAAATTTTAAGGATTTAAAGTTTCGTTTGAGAGGAGGTATTTTGAATTGTAGGAATCTGTAAATTTTCGCGTTTTAATTTTTTATTTCTTTTACAGATCATTCTTTACATTTTGATATTAAGGAAAATATATATAATAGATCTGTGGATATTGTGCTCAAAACCTCCTTATCTGCAAATATTTTGGAGTCCAAACAATATCTTAATTTGACTTTGCAAGCCTTATTAACAGGTTCAAATGGATTTAATGATAACTTAATAGTTTTCATTGATTTACCAATGAAAGGTAAGTACGGGTTTTACCCTTCCGATAACTATCAACAGATTACACCACAGACTAGAGTCTAGTCTGTAGACTATAGACTAGACTATAGACTAGACTATAGACTAGACGATAGACTAGACGATAGGCTAGACGATAGACTAGACGATAGACTAGGCGATAGACTAAACGTTAGACTAGACGATAGACTAGACGATAGACTTGACGATAGACTAGACGATAGACTAAACAATAGGCTCGACGATAGACTAGACGATAGACTAGACGATAGACTCGACGACAGGCTAGACGATAGACTAGACTATGGACTAGACGATGGACTATACTATATACTATACGATAGACTAGACGATAGACTAGACGATAGACTCGACGATAGGCTAGACGATAGATTAAACAATAGACTAGACGATAGACTAGACCATAGACTAGACGATAGAATAGACGATAGACTAGACGATAGACTAGACAATAGACTAGACTATGGACCAGACGATAGACTATACTATGGACTAGACGATAGACTAGACGATAGACTAGACGATAGACTAGACTATAGTCTATACGATAGACTAGACGATAGACTAGACGATAAACTCGACGATAAGCTAGACGGTAGAATAGACGATAGAGTAAACAATAGACTGGACGATAGACTAGACGATAGACTAGACGGTAGACTAGACGATAGACTAGACGATAGATTACTTACCCTTATCGTAGACTATGACTAGACTATGACTAGACTATGACTAGACTATGACTAGACTATGACTAGACTATGACTAGACTATGACTAGACTATGACTAGACTATGACTAGACTATGACTAGACTATGACTAGACTATGACTAGACTATGACTAGACTATGACTAGACTATGACTAGACTATGACTAGACTATGATTAGACTATGACTAGAATACGATTAGACTATCACTAGATTATGACTAGAATATGACTAGACTATAACAAATATTTAATTTATTTATAATTCCAGAATGCCACCCACCTAATCAAACTTTGCCCGATCCACCAAATTTTTCTAGTAAAAATTACGTATTTACCGCCTACACCAATCAAACCGGAATTCTCGGAATAGTAAATGCCTATAGTTCTGGTAGTAATACCAGTTTCCATTATATGTTGAATGTACAAAATGGTAAGTTTATTTAATTAATAAAATTATATTCCTTCAAAACTATTTAGTTTAATAAATATTATAGATCTTTTGGCCCAAAGACTTTCGATAAATCCCTTTACGGGAGAGTTGGGCCTGTACGGCATTATAGAAGAGGGAAATTATCTGTTTAACATAACGGCCGAAAATACAGCAACTCATGAAAGAGCTGTTGTTAAAGCTCTTTTAAAAGTTCAGCCCAAAGAAGAGTGCAAATTGTTTGAGGGCGTGGCAGTAGAGAAAACATTAATGATACGTCATATAGATGAGGAGAAGCCCTTTCATGGTCTCATGGATATGAACTTTAATGAGAATTGTACATTCCATATAGTGGATATGTGGCCGAACGATAAGGGTAAGTTAGCTAGATCCAAAAAGGATTTATACTTTTCCAATTTATTTAAGTATTAATTGTTTTCCTTATAGAATATGTCCATGTCAACTATATCTTCAATATGTTAGATACCATAGCTATTGATCGTGAAGATGAGATTTTTCAAAATATGTCAGAACCCCAAGTTATGGTTAAACTTAGACTGAAATGTGACAAAGATGATGATCACGATAATCTTACAATAGATATATCTCAGAATAAACCAATCGAAAAACGTTCTACACAAATAACATTCAGCGATGATATAGCCTATTCCCCGGATATTATGTGGCTTTATATAAAAATCGGTGATATTAATGATAATCCTCCAGAATTTAAATTATCCGAGGGACCTCTCTTTTTGGGCTATCCATCAGGAAATGCGGCCTTAGATATTTACCCTGAATATTTAACCAAAATAGAAGCTTTTGATCGAGATTTGGGTTTTAATGCTAAAATTAAATTTACTATGAGAGATAACGCTTATTTTGATATCGAACCAGAAACGGGTAAAATATATCCCAAGGGAAAAGCGCTCCAGAAAGATGAACAGACGGAACTAATTGTATTGGCTACAGATCAGTATGGTAAAGGTTTAACTTCTGGTACTGTAGTGGTAGTAAAAGCTTTAAGTCCAGATTTTTATAGTTTGGTTACTTTAAAAGATAATTCTACCAAAACTAAGCAAGAATTAGAACAGGGGCTGAGTCAACAAACTGGTTTTAATATAAATATTATAAAAATGTCATACGTACCTGAAATTATCTTGCAGAAATCGGTTGTAAATCACTCTTTAAGCTGCAAAGCATGGATTTATGGCTACCACAGGCATCAGTTGGTGCCTTATAAAGATCTGCAAGAGTAAATAAAAAACTAATATAAAAAGTTGCTTTTTTTATTAATTTGTTTACTTTACAGACAAATCTTGGTCAAAAATCCTGAGGACAATGTAGTAAATATAGAATCTTATGAAGAGGCAGCATTTCATTCAACTCCACATGACAATTCCAATTTGGGTTATTTAATTGCTACAATTCTTCTCTCACTTATAAGTAGTTCTTCCCTAAGTAAGTTTTTCTTAAATTTGGTTCCCTTAGAAATTTTTATTTAATTTTTCTTATTCCCTAGTCTTTATTATCTGGCGCTTTTATTATAAACCCACACTGCTTACTAATTGCAACACAAAGACTTTATCACCATCACTGGCGGCCAATGCTAATGGGAATGGTCAGCAACAAATCTCTGCAGAATGTTCACATGATTCTTTAAATACTATGGAGTGTAATAATCATGACGAGATTCGTGTCAAGTTCAGTGATCTTGTTGAAAATGACATTGTTGAAGAATCTCAATCAAAATGATGAAGATTGTGATTGAATGAAAGTGTAATTATATCAAAATTAAGTGTTTTTTAATTTGGAAGATTTTTATTTGTATATTTTTTTAATAAAAGAAGATTTATGTGGAATGAATTTTGTATTTACTTACAAACATATGTAAGTATGTATATAATTTGATATTTAAAAGACATACAACTACAGACTAGACTATGGGCTAGAGAATAGACTATATAAAAGACTAGACAATAGACCAGACAAGTCTATAGACTAGACTATTGTCTAGACTATAGACTAGACTATAGACTAGACTATAGACTAGACTATAGACTAGACTATATACTACACTATAGACTAGACTATATAATAGACTATAGACTAGACTATATACTAGATTATAAACTAGACTATGACTAGACTGTAGACTAGACTGTAGACTAGACTATAGACTAGACTATAGACTAGACTATAGTCTTAACTATAGACTCGCCTAAAAATTATACTATAGACTAGACTATAGAATATACCATATAATAGACTATAGACTAAAAAATAGACTAGACAATAGACCAAACTAGACTATAGACTAGACTATAGACTAGACTATAGACTAGACTATAGACTAGACTATAGACTAGACTATAGACTAGACTATAGACTAGACTATAGACTAGACTATAGACTAGACTATAGACTAGACTATAGACTAGACTATAGACCATACTATAGACTAGAATATAGACTAGACTATAGACTATACTATAGACTACACTAGACGAGACTATAGACTAGACTATAGACTAGACTATAGACTATACTATAGACTAGACTAGACGAGACTATAGACTAGACTATAGACTAGACTATAGACTAGACTATAGACTAGACTATAGACTAGACTATAGACTAGACTATAGACTAGACTATAGACTAGACTATAGACTAGACTATAGACTAGACTAGACTATAGACTAGACTATAGACTAGACTATAGACTAGACTATAGACTAGACTATAGACTAGACTATAGACTAGACTATAGACTAGACTATAGACTAGACTATAGACTAGACTATAGACTAGACTATAGACTAGACTATAGACTAGACTATAGACTAGACTATAGACTAGACTATAGACTAGACTATAGACTAGACTATAGACTAGACTATAGACTAGACTATAGACTAGACTATAGACTAGACTATAGACTAGACTATAGACTAGACTATAGACTAGACTATAGACTAGACTATAGACTAGACTATAGACTAGACTATAGACTAGAATATAGACTAGACTATAGACTAGACTATAGACTAGACTATAGACTAGACTATAGACTAGACTATAGACTAGACTATAGACTAGACTATAGACTAGACTATAGACTAGACTATAGACTAGACTATAGACTAGACTATAGACTAGACTATAGACTAGACTATAGACTAGACTATAGACTAGACTAGACTAGACTATAGACTAGACTATAGACTAGACTATAGACTAGACTATAGACTAGACTATAGACTAGACTATAGACTAGACTATAGACTAGACTATAGACTAGACTATAGACTAGACTATAGACTAGACTATAGACTAGACTATAGACTAGACTATAGACTAGACTATAGACTAGACTATAGACTAGACTATAGACTAGACTATAGACTAGACTATAGACTAGACTATAGACTAGACTATAGACTAGATAGAGACTAGACTTTAGACTAGACTTTAGACTAGACTAGACTAGACTATAGACTAGACTATAGACTAGACTATAGACTAGACTATAGACTAGACTATAGACTAGACTATAGACTAACTATAGACTAGACTATAGACTAGACTATAGACTAGACTATAGACTAGACTTAGACTAGACTATAGACTAGACTTAGACTAGACTATAGACTAGACTATAGACTAGACTATAGACTAGACTATAGACTAGACTATAGAACTAGACTATAGACTAGACTAGACTAGACTATAGACTAGACTATAGACGAGACTATAGACTAGACTATAGACTAGACTATAGACTAGACTATAGAACCTAGACTATAGACTAGACTATAGACTAGACTAGACTAGACTAGACTAACGAGAGACTAGACTATAGACTAAGACTACTAGACTATAGACTAGACTAGACTATACTAGACTAGACTAGACTAGACTATAGACTAGACTAGACTAGACTAGACTAGACTATAGACTAGACTATAGACTAGACTATAGACTAGACTATAGACTAGACTATAGACTAGACTATAGACTAGACTATAGACTAGACTATAGACTAGGACTATAGACTAACTATAGACTATAGACTAGACTATAGACTAGACTATAGACTAAACTATAGACTAGACTATAGACTAAACTATAGACTAGACTATAGACTAAACTATAGACTAGACTATAGACTAGACTATAGACTAGACTATAGACTAGACTATAGACTAGACTATAGACTAGACTATAGACTAGACTATAGACTAAACTATAGACTAGACTATAGACTAGACTATAGACTAGACTATAGACTAGACTATAGACTAGACTATAGACTAGACTATAGACTAGACTATAGACTAGACTATAGACTAGACTATAGACTAGACTATAGACTAGACTATAGACTAGACTATAGACTAGACTATAGACTAGACTATAGACTAGACTATAGACTAGACTATAGACTAGACTATAGACTAGACTATAGACTAGACTATAGACTAGACTATAGACTAGACTATAGACTAGACTATAGACTAGACTATAGACTAGACTATAGACTAGACTATAGACTAGACTATAGACTAGACTATAGACTAGACTATAGACTAGACTATAGACTAGACTATAGACTAGACTATAGACTAGACTATAGACTAGACTATAGACTAGACTATAGACTAGACTATAGACTAGACTATAGACTAGACTATAGACTAGACTATAGACTAGACTATAGACTAGACTATAGACTAGACTATAGACTAGACTATAGACCAGACTATAGACTAGACTATAGACTAGACTATAGACTAGACTATAGACTAGACTATAGACTAGACTATAGACTAGACTATAGACTAGACTATAGACTAGACTATTGACTAGACTATAGACTAGACTATAGACTAGACTATAGACTAGACTATAGACTAGACTATAGACTAGACTATAGACTAGACTATAGACTAGACTATAGACTAGACTATAGACTAGACTATAGACTAGACTATAGACTAGACTATAGACTAGACTATAGACTAGACTATAGACTAGACTATAGACTAGACTATAGACTAGACTATAGACTAGACTATAGACTAGACTATAGACTAGACTATAGACTAGACTATAGACTAGACTATAGACTAGACTATAGACTAGACTATAGACTAGACTATAGACTAGACTATAGACTAGACTATAGACTAGACTATAGACTAGACTATAGACTAGACTATAGACTAGACTACAGACTAGACTATAGACTAGACTATAAACTAGACTATAGACTAGACTATAGACTAGACTATAGACTAGACTATAGACTAGACTATAGACTAGACTATAGACTAGACTATAGACTAGACTATAGACTAGACTATAGACTAGACTATAGACTAGACTATAGACTAGACTATAGACTAGACTAGACTATAGACTAGACTATAGACCAGACTATAGACTAGACTATAGACTAGACTATAGACTAGACTAGACTATAGACTAGACTATAGACTAGACTATAGACTAGACTATAGACTAGACTATAGACTAGACTATAGACTAGACTATAGACTAGACTATAGACTAGACTATAGACTAGACTATAGACTAGACTAGACTATAGACTAGACTATAGACTAGACTATAGACTAGACTATAGACTAGACTAGACTATAGACTAGACTATAGACTAGACTATAGACTAGACTATAGACTAGACTATAGACTAGACTATAGACTAGACTATAGACTAGACTATAGACTAGACTATAGACTAGACTATAGACTAGACTATAGACTAGACTATAGACTAGACTATAGACTAGACTATAGACTAGACTATAGACTAGACTATATACTAGACTATAGACTAGACTATATACTAGACTATAGACTAGACTATAGACTAGACTATATACTAGACTATAGACTAGACTATAGACTAGACTATAGACTAGACTATAGACTAGACTATAGACTAGACTATAGACTAGACTATAGACTAGACTATAGACTAGACTATAGACTAGACTATGACTAGACTATAGACTAGACTATAGACTAGACTATAGACTAGACTATAGACTAGACTATAGACTAGACTATAGACTAGACTATAGACTAGACTATAGACTAGACTATAGACTAGACTATAGACTAGACTATAGACTAGACTATAGACTAGACTATAGACTAGACTATAGACTAGACTATAGACTAGACTATAGACTAGACTATAGACTAGACTATAGACTAGACTATAGACTAGACTATAGACTAGACTATAGACTAGACTATAGACTAGACTATAGACTAGACTATAGACTAGACTATAGACTAGACTATAGACTAGACTATAGACTAGACTATAGACTAGACTATAGACTAGACTATAGACTAGACTATAGACTAGACTATAGACTAGACTAGACAATAGACTGGTCTATAGACTAGACCATAGACTGGACTATAGACTAGACTATAGTTAGAAATTTAACAGATCTTAATTAAACAATTATTAATACAGTTTGAAATCAAACTATTTTTAGATATTTATAAAGAATCGGTTTGTGGTAACACATACACATGTTAGTTTCAAAAAACCACATATTCGCTCTTTCTCTTTTTAAATAGATCGTTTTACTTTTCTATTAAGTAACTGACTCTTTAGTCATAACATTAAAACAAAACTACTAAAGTGGCCAAATATATTAATCAGTTCTAATTTGTTTATAAATGTTACAAAAATAAAACATAAACAGAAAGTATAAGAAATAAAACAGTAAATAGGTTACTGACGTTTAGGTTTTTTTTTTTTTTTTTTTTGTTAAAGTAATGCAATACATAATCATATATAGAAATAA